CATCGCCGCACCGGCACGGAATAGCAGGACGCCGAACGTGGACACATTGGTGGCACGTCGTCCGAGCGAACGCTGTGGACACTAGATGGCAGATCGTCCGAGCGAGCCATGGGGACACAACGCCCATGAAGACACATGTTATCACATGAGCAAGAAGTGTGCAAGCATTCTCCAAGAATTGCCCCCGCACTATTGTTGCCAGTGTTTGAACATTCCTCCTCTAGGAGAGGCAGGCCCGAGCAGACCCTCTGCTGGCACCGCCCGAAGATCCATGTAAGCTCCACCAGACCTTTTGAGCATACAGACTATCCCGGCCAACCCTCGGGCGGACCCCGAGCAGCCCCCCGGCCACCCTCGGCCAGTCCGCTCCAGGCGGGCCCCCAAGCCTCTCCCGAGGTCCACCCTTACCAACTCCTCCGACTCCGCCTAGGTCGGGCACGTCCTCCGTCAGGCGGGCTTGGGAAGGAACGTGAAATGAGTCAAACAAGTATGCAAAAATAGTCCCAAATAAAAAAATGTCCGATGACTATTTTTTGGTTATGTTTGAACATTCCTCGTGTCCAGGCACATGCCTGATTTCTACAGTCGACCCGTATCATGAGGATGCGCGATCAGGAAGCAGGGGCCTTGGAAGGCCATTTCGGAGCTTTTCGAGCGGGGCGCGGCCAACGGAAGTGGCCAAGGGTGGGCCGAGGAGGCAAGGCTGCCAGGGGTACCCGTGGGAGGGGTGCCCATCCTTACTGTGCGGGTTGGCTCTGCACGCCCAGCCGTGGCGACGAAAGCCGCCAGGCACGCCTCGCCCAGCCTCCGACGAGCGACGACGGCGACGACGGCGGCGGCGGCCGCCGCGGCAGCCGCAAGTGGCCGCGGCGGCGGCGGCAGCGGGCGGCGGCGGGAGGCGCCAGGAGGCCCGAGGTGCCGGCGCGCCGAGAAGGGGGGGGAGCCATGCTGTGTTACTATCTCAGCGGCATCTTGATTGCGCATTGCTCGCGCACTTTTTCCAAGCGCAGTTTTGGAGGGGAGGAGGGGGCGCGGACCCAGCAGCACGATGCCAAAGCGCGGCGACGCTATCGTGGAGCCACGGAACTGCCTCAAACGTGGCACTCAAGAGTGGGATTGAAACACCCGGCCATGTAGACGAGCGTCTGGCGAGAGATTGTTCGCACACTGCTGCCATCTGCAGCTCGAGGTGACCGACGAGTCCAGACCGCGAAACTGGTCTCGGCGCTCGCTGACTGCCTAAGCATGCCTGTGAGGGTGCCAGGTCAGGACAAGGGAGAAGGGGGGGAAGGTAGGGCACCACGGCCCGAAGCGTGTGCGCACACGTGGGGGCGAGCAGGGGACGCGCTGGAAGCAGGAGAAGAATGTGTTGCTGTGGACTGCTGCAGGCTAAGCTCTCGAAAAGACAAACAAGCATGACTGTGCATATATATATATATATACATATATATACACATAGATGTAGATACATGCACATGCATATGTGTGTATATATATATATATGCATATACACTATGTATGTGTGTGTGCGTGTGTATATCTATCTCTATATATATATATATATATTACATTACCATTGACGGGCACATGAGGCCCTCGCAGAAACTCGAAATCCAATGCTGCAGAACTACCGTGCACTTTATAAGGCCAGTACAGCCGGCATGAGCGCAACTGCACCGGCCAGGACCAGCCGAGAAGCAGCACGCGTGGCGGGTGCCACGCTTCTTCTGTACCGCTTCTAGCACCTCAGCGCCGCCAAAAAAGCGGAAGAGCAGCTCACAGTCCGAGTATGAGAGCGTCTTGCCCGCATGGTCAAAGCCAGAGCCATCAGGCGTCTTCGCGCCCGAGGGTAAGAAACCCGTCAACGCATACGCCCGGCGGCTTTCGGGTCGTCGCCTGGGCATCTGGCAGCCGCTTTCCGATACCCCCAGAAAGCTTCGGACAAGGCGCAGCTGCTTGAAATCATCCCGGGGCTAGAAAACCACCAAGAACCAGCGAACATGTCTTGCAAGAGCAAACGAACACCTCCTACAGCCAACCAACACCTTCAAGTCTACATGCCATCCAGTCTCCGCCAGTCTCCGACGCCCCTGGGATGAGGGCAGCGGCAGCGGCGGGGTTAGCAAGGGGCCCGGGGCGGGGGCGGCCTCCCGGGCCTCTCAAGCGCGGGTTCGGGCAAGGCCTGCGGGGCCCGACGTCGTCGCCGACGCCGCCGTCGCCACTGCCGTCGTCGCCGCCGCCGCCGTCGTCGCAGCCCTCGCCACCGCCGCCACCGCCGCCGCCGCCGCCGTCGTCGTCGTCGTCGTCGTCATCGTCGTCGTCGTAGTCGTCGTCGGCCGCGCCGTCGTCGTCGTCGTCGTCGTCGTCGTCGTCGTCGTCGTCGTCGTCGTCGTCGTCGTCGTCGGGGTCGTGGTCGTGGTCGTCGTCGCCTTCGTCGAGCATCATCGCCTTGGTTGGGGCGCCGCCCAGCAAAGAAGCCTGGCTTCACGGCGGCATGGCAATGACAGCCATGGACGAACAGACGGGCGGGCACCATTGCGGGATCCAGACGGGGGGGAGGAGGCGCACCATTGTCCACAGCAGCCACGCCGATAGGTCTCACTCCTACCATCCTTCCTCCTCCTCGTCATGTACACTCCTCATTCCTCCTCATCCTGCCCCTCCCGCTCCTCCTTTCCTCCTCGACCCCCCACTCCCGCTTTCTCGTCCACATCCCTCCTCCCTCCCTCTTTCCCCCTCCCTCCTCCTCCTCGCCTTCTCCGCCTCCTCCTCCTCCTCCTCCTCCTCCTCCTCCTCCTCCTCCGCCTCCTCCTCCTCCTCCTCCTGCTCCTGCTCCTCCTCCTCCTCCTCCTCCTCCGCCTCCTCACCACCCGGCCAGGATCCCACGCAGCGAGGCGGCGGTGGCGCTGGCCTCCGCTGGCGGGCGGCCCGCGCGCAGCTCCAGCGCCGAGAGGCGCGCCTGGCGGCTGGCGCTTCCCCGGCGGCGGTTAGCGCCGGCGGCGGCGCCCCCACCATCCGTGGCGGAGGAGGAGAGAGGGGGGAGGAGAGAGGGGTAAAGAGGAGGAAGGAGGAGGAGGAGGAGGAGGAGGAGGAGGAGAGCATCCGAGGAGCAGGAGGTTTGCTAGAGGAGACCGAGGAGGTGAGGAGGGGATAAGGAGGAGGAGGAGGAAACGGAGGAGGAGGAGGAGTGAGGAGGAGGAGGAGGTAGTGGAGGCAGCCAGGAGGGGACAGGAGGAGGTAAGGAGGGAGAGGAGGAGGAGGAGGAGGAGGAGGTCGGTGAAGGACGAGGAGGAGGAGGAGGGGGCAAGCGGGAGGGAGGGAGGGAGGAGGGGGCGAGAAAGCGGGAGGATGGACGAAGAGAAGGAGGAGCCGGTAGGACAGGAGGAGGAAGAAAGAGGAGGAGGGCAGGAGGAGGACGAGGAGGAGGAGAAGAAGGAGGAGCAGGAGGACAGGAGGGAGGAAAATGACGAGGAGCAGGGAGGAAGGTGGAAGATGGAGGGAGGGAGGGATGGGGCGAGAAAGCGGAGGATGGGGACGAGGAGAGAAGGAGGTAGCAGGAGGACCAGGAGGAGGAGGATAAGGTAGAGGGGAAGGAGGAGGAGGAGAGGAAGACCGAGGGCGGGGACCCAATGGGGGAGGAGGAGAGGAGGTAGGAGGATGAGGAGGAGGAGGAGGGGGAGGAGGAAGAGGCAAGGAGGAGAGAGGAGGAGGGGGAGGGGGCGAGGGAGGAGGAGGAGGAGGAGAGGCGGAGAGGCGGAGGGGAGGAGGGAGGAGGAGGAGGCAGGAGAGAGGAGGAGGAGGAGTGAGGGGAGGAGGAGGAGGAGGGGGAGGAGGAGGAGGAAGGAGGAAGGAGGAGGATAGGAGGAGGAGGAGCAGGACGAGGAGGAGGAAGAGGACGAGGAGGAGCAGGAGGAGGAGGACGAGGAGGAGGAGGAGGAGGCGGATAAGGAGTGGGAGGAGGAGGAGGAAGACCGTGGAGGAGGACCGAGGAGGAGGAGGACGAGGAGGAGGAGGAGGACGAGGAGGAGGAGGACGAGGAGGAGGAGCAGTTCAACCAAGCCGAGCGCGACGCGTGTGTGACGATCAAGTGGCCACTGGCAGTCGTCCGCAGAAGATGGGTGCTCACATGTTCGATGCAATGGTTGGTGTGATGGGGCCGGGGAACCAAAGCATCATTGACGAACATCTGTGGACGAAGCACGGTATATCATGTTAGCCAGCGTGGGCCCCAAATAGTGCGATATTGCACTGTGGAGGTAAGAGCTATGCGGTGCAGGCTATGTGGTAAAATCTATGTCGTGTAACTGATTTTTACCCATGAGTTGACACATCCCACGCTCTTGCAAACATCCCACCCACCCACCCGCAACTTGGTTTGCAAAACCTCTTAAGACCGACTACGACGACACCGACGACAACGACTACGACGACACCGACGACGTCTACGACGACTTCGACGACGACGACGCCGACGCCGACGACGACGAAGACGACGACGTCGCCAACGAAGAGAAGACGACGACGAGGGAGGAGGGAGGGCGACGACGGCGACAACGACGACAGCGACGACAACGACGAGGGAGGGAGGACGGCGACGACGCGAACGACGAAGAAGGAAGGACGGCGACGCCGACGACGGCAACGACGAGGGAGGAGGGAAGACGACGACGACAACGACGACGACGACGATGACGGCGACGAAATAGGAGGGACGACGACGAGACGCCGACGACGGACGACGACGACGACTAGGGAGGAGGAGGAAGGACGACCACGGCGGCGACAACGACGACGGAAACAACCACGACGCCAAAGAGGAGGACGACGACGAACACGAGGAAAGACAGAGGACGACGTAGGCGACGACGACGACGCGGGAGGAGGGAGGACGGCGACGACGACGACGACGACGACGCAAGAACGCGCGCGCACGCTTTTGTTGAAAATCGGTGTTGCGAAACCTTCTGTTTTTGTTTCTTATTGGACACAAGATTTTGAAATCCTTTCGAAACCGATGGGTTTTGAAGGTTTTCGGCATACGCGCGCGACTACGCGCGCGTCTGCACTTCGTCCCATTTTTTGCAGAGGATTCTCGCGACGGCACACGCGCAAGGGCGTTCGACTGATTTCGACATGCGCGCGCGCGAAGCCCGTCAGGTAGCATGTTGTGAAAATCTTGAAAAACCTATGGTTTTCTTAAGATTTCGCAAGAGCTCACGCGGGAGCTTTTTTAGCAAATCAGTGTTGCGAAAGCCAATGTTTTTTGCATGCTTTTGGAAATTCGATTGCGAAATCCTTCCGGCACCAAAGGTTTTTGAAGGATTTCGGCATGCGCGCGCGACGGCGCGCGCGTGTGCACTTCGTCCAATTGTTTTGCAAGGGATTCGTGAAAAAGTCTTATGTTAGAACAAAAGATGTCCCCGCGTATCGTCTTTTACAAGGGAACCTCAGGGGGGTCGATACCGGCCCCTCCGGGATAGTGCAAATTCAGATTTAGGATGGACATATGGTCAGAATCATACATGATTTACATTCCCGAAAGAAGGGGGGGATAACGCCTGGGGGGGGATAGAGTCTATTGTCTTTTTAGAAATGAGAATATGTGCGGTGTGAGCTATGGAGGTGAAACGTGTACGGTGTGAACCATGTGGTGTAAGCTATGCGGTGTGGGCATGGAAGTGGAAACTGTGCGGTGTAACCGGTGTAAGCTGTGTTGTCTAAGCTGTGCTGTGTGGGCTAGGCGGTGTGAAGTGGAAGTGGCGCTATCGGTGTAAGCTTTGTGGTGCAAGCCATGTCTTGGTGGCAAGCCGTGTGGTAGAAGCTATGCGGTGTAAGCTGTGCGGTGTGAGCCATGCGGTGACAGCTACGTCCTGCCAGCTCAGAGCCCGGGGCGCCCACGAGGCGGCAGCGTGGCGCAGCCTCGGGGAACCCACCCCTTGCCGTCGCTCGGACGTCCATTTCCCGTGCATGTTTCGGTTTCGTGCGTGTTTTTTTTCACTCGATGGTCCAGGATGGTCCTCGATGGTTCTCGCCGAGAAAAAAGTGCACACGTCCGAGCGATGCCAAGGTAAGCCGCGTGGTAGAAGCTAAGCGGTGTAAGCTATGCGGTGTGAGCTGTGTGGTGACAACTACGTCCTGCCAGCTCAGAGCCCGGGGCGCCCACGAGGCGCCCACGAGGCGGCAGCGTGGCGCAGCCTCGGGGAACCCACCCGGCAGTCACGAGGCCGTACGGGGCAGCGCCGTGGCGATCACGGTGAACAATCACGAAACCCACCCAGCAATCACGTGGGGCAGTCTCGGGAAACCCACCCAGCAGTCCGTGGAGTCCTCGAGAAGACCACCCAGCGCACGGAGCGCCCAGGAAGCGCCCGACGGGGTGGCGCCGAGGAGGCACCGCGGCGAGTCCCTGGGAAACCCACCCAGCGCACGGGGCGCTCACGAGGCGGCACGGGTGGCGACGTGGCGAGAACTCTGAAGGTGCCACCGGCCGGTTGCGCAAAGTCGGGAGAGCCAGGGAAGAACTCCTGAGTGCAACGGTTGAGGGAAACAATCAAGCAACACTCCCCCCTCCCCCGCAATTCAAAGTTGACAGGTTTTCGCAAGACCGCTCGGAGGCCCAAAATCGGAAGATCCGAAACCAACATTGCATTTGGGGGGAGGGGGGGGAGGTTCAAACCATATGTTCTGCATCAATGTTGCTTAATTGTTTCCGACACCCGAAGCACTGTTTCATGGCGGCCCAGCAAAGTGCATCATTCCCCCACCTGCCACCATGGGGAGTAGGAGCCTCCTGGCCGTCCTGGGGTCAGTCGCCCCCGGTCGCAGACCAAAAGAATACTGTACCAGTCTCTATCCGCAAAGGACACGGCTGAGGGTATTACGGTCAACGCGTATCATGATGATGCGCGGTAAGGTTGCAAGCCCCTTGGACACCCATTTGAGCTAAGGATTGCCGAAGGATGGGCCGACGAGGCAAGGATGCAGGGGTACTCTTGGGAATACCACTCAACCTTACCATGCGCGGTGACTGTAAAGCTTGCAGCTTGGGCAGCGCGAGACCAGTGGCGGGCTGTTTTTCAATCCCAGGACTTTCTGAGGATCGTGGACAACGTCGGGGTGGTGTGGTGTATACCTTTTTCCCCGCTTTCCCGGGAAAGCAGCGACAACTGCATACACAAAAATGCCGTATACACCAGGATCCGCCTTCCTGTGCGAATTTCAGTGCGGGGCCAGAACAAGCGTCGGCGTCGGTGTATTAGGAGAAGACAAGACAACTGCATAAACATAAACTTTTGGCGCTCCGCGCGGATTTCTTGGATCTGCGCGGAGCGCCAAAAGTTTATGCTTATGACGTTTTCTCTCCTTCGCTGTATAGAGTTCGGCTCCTTGGTTTGGGCAGCGCGAGACCAATATCCATCGCCAAGACAAACGAAGGGCGCAGCGGGTCTCCGCGCCGTGGCCTGGGGTGCGACCAGGCGGCGCAGCGGCGCGGAGAGGCGG